CTTTCCCTGTCTCTTCCACTCCCTCTTAAAAAATTAATGGAATAATATCCTCAGGTGAGGATTAACTTTAATAATAATAATAATAATAATAATAATAATAATAATAAGTATTTCTTAGATGAAATGCAAATCTTTAAGATCTATCTTTCGCTTCCTTTCGGCCTGAACCGCCGCCATCTTCCAGTAACTCACTGAAATGACTGACCCAAAGGGAAAGAGAAGAGGCAGCCGCTCTGTGTTCACTAGGCCTTTTAGAAAACATGGCGTCGTTCCTTTGGCCACACACATGGGACTCTACAAGAAAGGTGATGTTGTGGACATCAAGGGAATGGGCGCTGCTCAAAAAGGAAGGCCCACCCGTGTCACCATGGCTAAACCGGAAGAGTCTGTCAGTCACCCAGCATGCAGTGGGCATTATTGTGCACGAGCAAGGCAAGGGCAAGATTCTTGCCGAGAGAATCAATGTCCGTATGGAGCACCTAAGAGCTGAGATAGCTTCGAAACGCGTGAAGGAAACCGATCAGAAAAAGAAGGAAGCCAGAGAGAAAGGCACCTGGTTACCTGAAGCGTCAGCAGGCTCCGCCCGGAGAAGCACGCGTTGTGAGAACCCACGGGAAGGAGCCCGGGCTGCCGGGACCCGTTCCCTATGAATTCACGGCCTGGTAAGTGGGGGAAATTAAAAAGACTTCTGCGCTGATAAAATATGCCTATCTGTCTTTCTTCTTTGGCTGGGTCTGAGTTACAGGCCTTTTCTTCCGTTGACTCACATTCCATTTTTTGGTCTTTTAACTTCCAGGGTGGCAGGTAGGAAGAGAGAACTTTCTTTTTGCCTGAAAATGTGCTAAGCTTTCCCATATCCTGATGAGCTTCCGAATTTTAACCTTCATATGGCTAAGTGTGTGTCTTTCCCTATCAGTCCAGTCTGGTACTTAAGTCTTTGTTTAGTTCAGGGAAATTAAATATATTATTTTTTAAATATATTTTATTTATTTTTTATTTTATTTTATTATTATTATTTATTTATTTTTTTTACAGAGAGGAAGAGAGAGGGAAAGAGAGTTAAAGACATCAATGAGAGAATAACATCCATCAGCTGCTCCTGCACACCTCCCACTGAGCATGTGCCCGCAACCAAGATACATGCCCTTGACGGGAATCGAACCTGGGACCTTTCAGTCTGCAGGCCGATGTTCTATCCATTGAGCCAAACCGGTTAGGGCATAAATGTATTATTTAATGATGACCTCTCCTCTCCTGTTCTTTATTCTGAAGGAACTCTACAAGTTAAGTTTCCTGGTCTGTTCCAATGTCCCATCTTTAACCACATGATTTGCATCTCCATATTTCTAAGATACTTCATCTTTAATTCTCTAGACCTGTTTTCAGGTTTTAGCAGTACATCCTCTCCTGTGATTTGTCTATGGAAATTTTGTGCTCTGATTTTCTAGTTCAGGGAAATCTTTTTTGTTTGAGCTATATTCATTTTTCAGTCAGAGATTCACCTGCTTCCTCCAGCAGGTCCTCTGTCCCTCTGGTTTGCCTTTCCCAGCTTCAAGGGCTGAGAAATTCAATCCTCCACTGTTTTATGTTTGTTTGTTTGTTTGTTTGTTTTTGGAGAATAGGGGAGGCTCAGCAAAGGATTGTTCCTGGAAAGCAGACTGTTTCTGGGACTTGCTGCGTTGCTCTTGGCTCTGAGGCTCTTCTCCAGAAATTTGTCCTCAAATCCTCTGCCAAGAACTCAGCAGAGCCCACTTAAAGTTCCCCGCCTAGCCCTGGCAGGTTTGCTCAATGGTTAGAGCACATGTGTCAAACACAAGGCCCGCGGGCCAAATCCATCCCGCCAGGCCTTGCAATGTGGCCCGCACCGCGCTGTCATCACTGCACTCGGCTGCGTTTCCATCACAATGACAGTTTATGACTGTTCAGTAAACCATTCGGCCCGCGATTTAGGCTGGATTTTAGATTTTGGCCCCTTCTCTGATTGAGTTCGACACCCCTAGGTTAGAGCATCAGCCCATGGACTGAAGGGTCCCAGGTTTGATTTCCAGTCAAGAACATGTGCCTAAGCCGGGACCGGTTTGGCTCAATGGATAGAGCGTCGGCTTGGGGACTGAAGGGTCCCGGGTTCGATTCCGGTCAAGGGCATGTTCCTTGGTTGCGGGCACATCCCCAGTAGGAAGTGTGCAAGAGGCAGCTGATCGATGATTCTCTCTCTCATCGATGTTTCTAACTATCTCTCTCCCTTCCTCTCTGTACAAAATCAATAAAATATATTAAAAAAAAAAAAAAAAAAAAAAAAGAACATGTGCCTCGGTTGCAGGCTGGATCCTGGCCCGGTTGGGGCACGTGCAGGAGGCCACCAATTGATGTGTCTCACGTCAATATTCTCTCTTTCAGCCTCTCCCCCTCCCTTCCACTGTCTCTAAAAAAATAAAAAATAAATGGAGCCCTAGCCGGTTTGGCTTAGTGGATAGAGCATCGGCCCATGGACTGGAGGCTCTTGGGTTTGAGTCTGGTCAAGGGACACATGCCTCAGCTGCAGACCCTGGTCAGGGCCCCTGTGGGAGGCAACCAATCTGCCTGTCTCTCTCACATCAATGTTCCTCTCTGTCTCTCCCCCGCACTTCCACTCTCTCTACAAACCAATGGAAAAATATCTTCAGGTGAGGATTAATAAAAGAAAAAAGAAAATAAAGTTCCTCAGCTAGAGTTATTGGGGGGGTGGGGGTGAGGGGAGGTCTTCATAGGGTTGCTCCTGGTACGTGCACAGAATCCCCTCACTCTAAGCAGTGTAAGTATTACTGACAAAGTGAGAATCACCAAAAGATTTAAAAGCAGAAGACATTATTAGGAGGTCAGAACTCAAGAGCTGCAAGAGATAGAAAGTCTAACTTAGACTGACTGACTAAGCAAAAGAAGGATTTTATTAGCTTGCTTACATAACCAAGGAGTTCAGGAAGCAGATCTTGCTCTGGGCATGGCTGGATCCAAGGTTTCAAATGAAGCCATTAAGACTTGGTCTCTCTCCATGTCCCAGCTCTGTTACCCTCCTTGTAGCCAAAACCAAGTTGAAAGTTTAGACTCATTTTGACAGGGAGCGGTGCAACGCCAGAGATGGAGGGGCCTTGGTTGGATGGCGTGGTGTGGCTTCTGAGGCTCCTCCTATAAATAATTTGTTAAGAACTTCCTATCCATGAACCGTTGACAATCCCAAAGACCCTTCGTCTTTGGATCTTGGGCTTATTCCTGTCCTCCCCGCTGGGATCTCAGGAAGGGGTGGGGAGGGAGGGAGAGACGGGGGCGGGATCCCCAAAGGATCCTCTGTGTCTTCCCCTGACCTGCTCTGGGATTCTGCTTGGGACAGGAAACTCCCGGCTGGAAACAAACGCCAGTGAGGCAGGGAGGGCGCCAAGGGAAGCACCGGGAGCTCTGGCAGGGGAGCGAACTCCCAGGTATTTGGTAAAGGGAGGCCTTCACCCGGTTGGAGAGATGTGGCAAGGGGGCCCTCAGAGCTGTTTGAGAGCCATCGGCTGCCCCACATTAACCTTCTTTATTTCCTAGATTAGGAAGTTGCCACGGATCTGGTGTTCAGGTGAGCTCTAGGCTACGGCATGAGCCTTCAGTGACAGACAGGATAAGAAGGTAAGGCCCTCACCGGTTTGACTCAGTGGATGGAGCATCGGCCTGTGGACTAAAGGGTCCCAGGGTTCGATTCTTTTCAAGGGCATGTACCTTGGTTGTGGGCACATCTCCAGTAGGGGGAGTGCAGGAGCTAGCTGATTGATGTTTCTCTCTATGTTTCTAACTATCTATCCCTCTCCCTCTCTGTAAAAAAATCAATAAAATATACTTTTTAAAAATAATTTAAAAATTTTAAAAATCAATAAAATATATATTTTTTAAAAAGATAAAAAGGTAAGAAAAACTTAAGCGTTGTAGAGGAGAGAGAAAGCAGAGGATCCAGGCTTCAGAGACTGGAAAGAGTTCAAGTCATACCCAGCTCCACACCAAGGAACGCGGGAGGCGCCCAAAGCGCGGAGCCTACAAATTCCGGAGGGTGGGGGACCCGAGCCCGGAGACTTCATCTCCCAGCATGCCGCGGGCCCGGCAGCCTCGCGCCTGCGCAGAGGTGGTGGCGAGGCCGCGTCCCGCCGCGCGGGGGCGCTCGGAGCTCGGTGCTGCGCCGGCGGGCGGCCGCGGAGCCCGGCGGGAGAGCCGGGCTGGGCTGGGGGTCGTTGGAGGCCTCGGCTGCGCTGGCCGGCGAGTCCCAGGCGTGAAGACCTCAGCCCCAGGCCGCGGACACGCCGAGCGCCTTCTGCACGGCAGCCTGCAGAACCCCACATCCCGCTGCGGGCGGCTCCCGCATCCGGTACCCGCCCCAAAGCCACCTCCCTCCCTCCCACACACACCCAGCTGCCTCCACCGCGGCCCCGCTGGCTGCTGCTGGGGAGGGAGGCGCCCTGGGGTGCCCAGGCCCAGGGACCAGGGCACTGGGACACGGTGTGTTTGTCTGTGTGTGTGCAGAGGAGGTCCCTGTTCCCTACTCGGCCTTCTCTGGACGCTAGGAAGAAGTTTGGTGAAAGCCTCAGGCTCCCCTTCCTTCTGCGCCTCACACCTCATGTCTGTCCCACCTGCCCCTCCAGAGGCCCCGGGAGGAGCTGGCAGACCACAGGAGTGGGGTGCAGCAGGTACAGAGCCCATGGAGAGTAGAGTAGGGCAGGGCTGCTGAGCTTGCAGGCTCCAGGGGATGGGCGTTGGGCGGTCCTCAGTGTAAATTCTGGGGACCTTCTAGCTAGCAGCTGCGGCCTCCACCCCTGGCACCCATCCCTGTCATCCACCCCTGCCAGCCTCCACCCCTGCTCTGTTGATGAGGCTGCCCCTCTTGGCCCTCTCCCCCAGCCAGGCTCCCCTGGGAAGTGCTCTGTGCAGACAGCAGAGCTCCCCTCCCACCATGTGGGGTCTCTCATAGGTCTGTGGCCCACTTAATAAAAGTCTAGACATTTTTTTTTTTTTTGAGAAATTTTATTTAAAAACGTGGGGACACAACAGAGGCAGCAGGATGGAGGCTGGTATTCTCCTGCCAGGCTTCGCAGACCAGAACCAGGCTTGGGTTCTTCAGGTTGCTAGGTTCCAGGTTTCTCCCCTCCCATCCCCACTTCCTGCCCCACCCCCAAACCAGTGGCCTCCCCAGGGGTATACCCACCCAGGTCCTCTTAGGCTCTTCCCCCCTGCCCCACTGCCCGCTTCCTGCGTCTGAGGAGACACGGGTAAAACTCCGGAAGGAGGAGGAAGCGAGGAGGGGGCCGCTGCCTCTGGGGGCTGCTTTTCCCCTGAGATATCCCTCAGGCCAGATAGGAGGTTTAGGGGACACCGCCTCCTGTGCCCGGGGAATGGCTGACCGTGTTTGGGGGGTTGTTGGGAACCAGTCGTGACCCAGACGGGGTGGCAGTCACCCCTGCCGCAGAGGAAGCGGGGCGATGCGGGCCCTCCGTCTCAGCTGGGCGCCGTCTGGCTGTTGGCGTAGGCCTGGTCTGGGAAGGAAGCCCTGGCCCTGCGGGTCTGGGCGCACACGGAGGCATAGAGCTCGGGCTCTGGGCCCGGGGCCTGGGGCTGGGGCTCCGCGTCCAGCACCACCTCTGAGTATTTGACGGGGGCTCCCGGGCTCAGGACCCGGCCCTGAGGAGGCCGCAGCTGCAGGCTGGTATAGCACATCACCTCCTCCGAGGCCTGGAGATGCAAGGCCGTTAGACGTTCGCCGGACCCTTGAAAAAGCCCCCCCCCCTTCCCGTCCCTCCCCCCCCTCGTCCTCAGCAACAACGGACTCACCCTGGCGGGGCCTCCAGGTGTTGGATCCGGCTGGTCTGGCCCTGGGTCGTGAGACAGGCGTCCTGGGGCAGGCAACAGGGATCCGGTCACTTCTAGTTCCTCCTCCTGCAGCCCTGCATCCACCCACCCAGGACCTGCTCTCTGGGCCTCGCCCCTCTGCCCGTGTCCTACCTGTCTTCAGGTAGTGCAGGTTCCCGTACAGGGGGACCTCTTCCACAGACCCTCCAGAACTGCAACACGAAGTTTGAGGGTTAAATGGGGAGTTCTTGGTAAGGAGAAACGATCCATGATCCCATTTCTGTCGTCGTCCCCCTCCCCCCCCACACACACACACACACTCACTGTCCCTTTTCTGGACGGTTCCTCCTCCAGCCACTGCTGAAGCGGGACAAGTGTGCAGCCAGCGAGACGAGAAGCAGCAGCGTCACGGCCCCGAAGAGGACCCACAGTCCCCAGGCCGCGGTGAAGGGGGGAATTCCTGTGGATGGATGGAGAGAATAGAGGGGTGGGTATGACTGCCCAGCCCAACCCTCCAGATCCCAGCGGATGGGACCTGGGGCCCCCGCGTGACCCCTCCCCCTGTCCCTGCCCCGCCCAGCTTACCGGGCCCCAGCTGATCCGTGCAGTTTGCACCGCTGCTCATGACTATTGATGTGGCAGCCAAGTCTGCAGGCGACGATCTCGCGCCCTGAGCCTGGGCGTGAGCCTGGCTTATGGTCTGACAGCTGCAGCAGCCCCCCGTACTCCCATCCCTCCCCGGGCCTGGCCCCCACAGCTCATCATCCCCAATGCTGATGGTGGCAAAGTCGCTGGTTTCCGGGGAGGAAGGGGGAGGGGGGGATGAGTGAAAGAACTGACACCGCCCAGGGCCTGCACCTGCGCCACTCAGCAACTCCTGAACTTCCGCGGCTCCCCACCTCACGTCCCCTCGCCCTTGGCCCTGTGTCTCCCCTCCCCCCCCATCCCACGCCCCTGGCCAGAGAAGAGTGAAGAAGGCTTCGCCTCAGTGTGGGTGAGCCCGCGAAGACTCCCAAGCGGGGCATCAGTGGCATGAGGCAGGACCCACAGGACAAGGAAGGCAGGCTTTGTGACAGATCTCCTTATGCCACAGGGTGCCTGGCTTCTCTCTCCAGTTCCGAGTCTCACGAGGAGAATGTGCTCCTGGATGAACATGCTATAACATGGAATAGGACTGGGAGGTCTCCTGGTATGTACCCTCTCACCACACCCTAAAGCTGATCCAAGGTGAACGTGTTAGGATGACCATTGTCATTGTTACTGTCCTATCCCAGGGGCCCAGTGCATGAAATTGGTGCACGGGTAGGATCGCTAGGCTGGCCAGTGAGCAGGACCAATTGGGGCCTTCTGGCTGGCAGCCGGCAGGCTGAGGGAGGCCTGCCTTCCCTGGCTGCTGGCTGCCCTTGTTTCATGCCACCCCCTGGTGATCAGCACACGTCATAGTGAGGGGTTGAACTCCTGGTTGGTCAAACTCCCGGAGAGGACAATTTGCATATTAGCCTTTTATAGTATGCAAATTGCCCTCTCAGGCAGTCATTCAACCATGAGTTTGACCGCTCGCTGTGACATGCACTGACCGCCAGGAGGTGGTGTGGAATATGGTGGGCATCAGTGACCCGCTGTGACCTCTTGCCAGCTACCTGGGGGAGAATTTTAAGACAAAACTAACTAAAAAGTGGTCTCCATTTTATTTTCACCATGTTCCAGCAATCCTAAAAAATGTCAGTAATAAAGTACTCCTCTTTGAAAAAACGTTTATAGATCCTGTTCTACATTGTTGTGGTTACTGATGAGCTTTCATGATATACTAGCTTCAAATTAGCACCCCTGTATTACCTATCCTTTAGAAAACATTGTCACGTACATGGAAGTTCATCTAGAGAACTCCCAGGTACCCAATTGGCCCCTGGCATAAGCAGATTCATCTGGGTGTGTTTAAGTCTAGTTCTTAGCAGTTTGTTCAAGTGCTCTCTGAGAATAACCAACTCCTATGATAGCACATATTCCCATAGTTAGCCCATGGATTTATAACAATAAGTAGCACAAAGATTGTAAAGTCAAAGAAATTGAACTTGAATTCCTTTAAGTCATTCCAGAGTTTTTATTTATATTGAAATTTTATATTGAAAATTTCTGGGACTTATTGTGAAATGGAATTTTCTAAATCTTTGTCAAGCATCTTTATGATTACTCTTTCCCTAACTGTTTGCATGTTTGTTGCTTAATATGAAGAAACTTTAAAATTTTTTAAATTGATTTTTAGAGAGGGAGGAAGGCAGAGAGAAAGAAACATTGATGTGAGAGCAGAACATTAATTATTAAAGGCTGCCTCCTGCACATACCCTACTGGCGATCCAGCCCACAGCCTGGGCATGTGCCCTGACAGAAATAAAACTGTGACATCCTGGTTCATAGGTTGATGCTCAACCACTGAGTCATACTGGTTGGGCACTATATTTAGTTTTATACTGTCATGATTATATCAGACATTCAGATATACAAATAATTCAGTCTGAATTTTTTTTTGGGGGGGGGGTGTTTTTGTTTTTTTTGTTTTCAGTCTGAATTTCTGACCCTTATTGTTAGTTTATTTTATGGTCCTTATTATTTGTTTCATTTCCTGATTATTAATGAAAATAATTTTGTCCTATAGAAGAGAATTTTAAAAGCATGATCCACACAGGTGTCAAATATGCCAACTATTCATCGGTAACATTTTAAAACGGAGATTTCAAATTATAAAAATCCCAGTTTGTTGAATTGGGGTGGGGAGGTGTAGAAATCAGAATATCTGGGAATAGTGGGCCCAGATTCTCTGAAGGCAATGATCAGTTAGCAGCCATTTATCATGTTAAAAGCCTTTCCCCCCCCCCCCAAAAAAAAATATTTATTTACATTAACTACACCAACTGGTTTGGAGTACACTGTTCTACCTGGGTAAGCTGCCCCATGGTGGTCAACTACTAGAGCATGGTAACTCCCCTGGGTTCGGGTCTTTCCCTGCAGTGCCTCCTTCCTTTCTGCATTTTATTCATTTATTTAACACGTGTACTTCATTCATTTAATACACATGTACCACTTATGAGCCAAGCTCTGGGGATATAAATAAATGTGAGTGAGAAATGGTTTCTTTCCTCTTCAAAGAGCCGTTGGTCTAAGCAGGAAGGTGACACAGACAGTTATAAAAGATAGTGTGAAACAGTGGGAGACTACCTAAGTCTGCCTGGAGAAGTCAGGGTCAACGAGAAGTGGGAAGGCCTGGAGGTGGGTGATGTGAGACAGGTGATATGGAGACAAGCAGAAAATGGAGTTGCCTAGTCTCTGACCTGATCAACAACACTTAACCTTCATGAACCCGTTTCCTCATTTTTAAAAAGTGCTTAACTGTATTTAATTGTTGGATCGTTTGAAAACATTAATTTCCTTCAACAAGGATTTATTGAGTGCTCGCTTTGGCAGCACATATGCTAAAATTGGAAAGATACAGAAATTAGCAAGGTAAACACTCAAATTTATTAACCAATGTCACCCCAATGAATTTAATTTTTTTTAAAAGTGTTTGCTATAACCATGTGCTTTGCTAGGCTATAGGAATAAAATGGTGGATTTCTCCAGCTTTACTGTGATATAATTTACATATAGGGGTACAATAGTGGCTAACAAGTACACAGAGTTAATGATTCTGCATTGAATGTGAATGCTGACGTCTGTAGATGTTACCCGTCAGAACAAGAGATTGTAAAATGCAGCCGCGCTGAGAATGAGCCCCGTGTGGTTAGTGCACGCAGGCGCACCGCCTGCGTAACTAGAGGAGATGACGGACGACGCCCCCGCCACACGCCCGCTCAGCCTTCGCTTCTTGGCGGATTCACAGCGAGAAGCGGGGAGGTCTGCGTGCGTGCGCACGTGGCACTCTCTGCCCGCGGTCCGGGGACTTTCCCCTAGGCGCAAATGAGGAACCGGGTCCTCCGTGTGTAGCCTAGGAAACAGGCCTTCAGCGCGAACTACAAGAGGATACTGACGTGTTCCGGCGTTTTATAGGTCCGTCAAGAAATCTACCTTATAGTTAGGGTGAGAAGACTGGTGGTTTACGAAATAAAAATCACTTTCTGGAACAATCTTCAAATACTTCTGGAGGTATTCCGAGCTAACATAGATTAGAATAAATAGGAAAGAAATTAATTCAGGAAGATTTGGCCAATGGTCCTATGCAAATCACGCGTGGCCCCGCCCACAGCATGTGGGCGTGGTCTTCCGGGGGCGGCCCCAGCGAGCCCGGCGCGCCTACCCATGAGCCCATGAGCACCGGGGCGTTCCGCTGCCTAGCGCCGCAGGGGCCTCAGTCTGCCGGCCCGCAATGGCGGGTGCGGTGTCGCCCGCGGGTGTTCTGGGGCTGCTCCTTGTATCTACGCTGCCCGGGGTCCTCGGAGACCGCTCCAGCCGCGACCTCCGGGCACACCCAGGTACCAGCGAGGGCTGCCGGGGGGAAGCTGGGATTGCCCTGGAGTCCCAGCCCCATTGACCCTCCTCTGCCCTCCTCCGTCCGCAGGGAACCCCGCCCAGGGCCGCCCGAAGGCCACGGAACCCCGGCGGCCGCCGCCGCCCAAGCACCAGCAGGAGCGGGCCCCGGCGTGGCCTCTGGGGGCGCTGTACACCGCGGCCGTCGTGGCTTTTGTGCTCTATAAGTGTTTGCAGGTGCGGGGCGGCCCGTGGTGGGGGTGCCCCGGGCCCGAGTTTCCCATAGGGTTGTTGTGGTACCAACAGCAAGAGACGTCTCCCGCTCACTTTATGAAAGGAACAGTAGTTCCTCGGCTTTCCAACATGTTGGGGTCATTTTGAGCCTGCAGCGAGGTGATGGGTGTGAAGGGCACGTGGTAAATTGCAAATAAGTATCACGTGTAGTCTTCGCAACAAGCCAATGAGGACATTAAGCCCCTTGCTCAAGGTCAGAGCCAGTCACTAGCGGAGCTGGGATTTGAACCCAGCAAGTGTGGAGCTCCTGGTGAGATGCCAACCTTGGCACAAGAGGTTGGTTACTGTAGTCAAGTTTGTTTTTTAAGTTCAAGGTACGAAACAGGCCCATGTTCTTGGGGAGGAGGCCCCGAAATATGAATTGACAGTCCATTTTGGTGGATTGAAACTGTTGCAATGGGAAGTAGTGCCTCCCAGGGCTGTATATTCAGCCTCGGCCCTATCACTCAATTGCTCCGGGAAATAGAGGGCTCCAGAGCCATTTGGAGGTGATGTGAAACTAGAAGGGACAGCTGGTCGTGATTCCAAATAGACTTGACAAGCTAGGATAAAGGCCTGAATTCAATGGTGAAATTTAACAAGGATGGATAAATTCTATTCCTGGACCCAAATATAGTTGAAACATAACAGCAGCAGCTCTTTGATTGGCTAATGAAGTTCATTTGTGTGATGTGACAACCCATTTCCTAAATAAGTACTGTGTGTTATCTTATGATCAGAACATTCCTGGAGAACTTGATTCCCTTCGGGGCACTGATTTAAGAGCTCAAGTTCAGTAAAGCAACCAGAGAAAGTCAAATGAGCACTGGTGATATTAAGCCAGAGAGGATGTGGGGAAGTGAAGGGGGGAGGGGGGAGGGTGATAACCATTGTTTTCAAATTCCCAAGGGGCTATGATTTTGAGAGGCTCTTACCAGCACAGTGAAAAGTAGGTACAAGAAGGACAGTGTTTGGCTTTGTATATAAACTAACACCCAGATCTTGATCAACCTGGAGGGAGGTGCTCTTTTCTTGGAGGTGTTAAGAGTAGACTGAATGACCTGGTGAGGGCTTGCCGACAGGCTGCTTCATGCCCTGGGTGAGGAGCTGGAGGGGCTGTGATTCTCTGAGGTAAAAATCCCATCGTTGTCTCTGCCTCAAATCCTCCTCCTCTTACTGGCTTTGGAGACAAGGGGTGGGGGAGCCTTGTTGCAGTTTCTCCCTTTCCTCCTCCTGCAGCAGGAGAAAAATGAGGCCCCTGTTCCCCAAGAAGAGGCAGGCAAGAAGGAGTCGTTGCAGTCAGGTGGGTGTTGCAGACGTCTTGCTGGGTAGGGAGTTAGGGGATGGCAGAAGGTGAGTCACCATTGCCCTCCTCCTCTCCCTTACCTCCAGAGCAACAGCTGGCCCAGCTGACACAACAGCTGGCCCAGACAGAGCAACACCTGAACAGCCTGATGGCCCAGCTGGACCCCCTTTTTGAGCGGTAAGCGGAGCAGTGTGTGGCAGGTGAGAAGTGGGGACCCAGCCTGGGCAGCCTCTGAGGGGACCTGTCCACAGCGTGAGCACCCTGGCCGGAGCGCAGCAGGAGCTTCTGAACATGAAGTTACACACCATCCACCAGCTGCTACACAAGAACAAGCCCAGCCAGGAGGTCCCAGAGCCAGGTAACAGGCTGGGGGCGAGAGCCTGGCGGGGGTAGAGACAAAGTACGTGAAACGGGAACACACCCCACAGAGGCATCTCCCCCTCACAGAGGCTGGCGTGCCCTTTCCTGAGGACTCGTGTGTGGAGGAGGAAGACGAGGAGGCTGGTGACAGCCAGGCTGGGGAAGCGCCCCTACACTGGAGCACAGAGACAAGGAGCCCAGCCACTCCTTGGGGAGTGGAGCAGGGGCTCAGGAGGAGATGCAGCAAGACTGCGGCAAAGGGCCGCGGTCCCAGCCCCCTCCGGGGGGAAGGAAGGACGCCAGCTGAAGGTTTAGTAAAACCAAGTCTGTTCCTGTGATTGGATGCTCCAGTGTGCTTTTTGCATCCCAGCTGGTCACACACACACCCATACTCGGTGCCTAGGAGCAACCGGCCCTTCTTGGAAAGCTTCCCTTATTAGGACAAAAAGACTGCCTCCCGGCGTGAGAGCGGAGAAGACAGAGGAAGCTCCAGCTCTTTCCCGTGCACTTCCGAGGCCCGTCATGCCAGCCTCGGGCACAGACATCCCTTTGCTCAGGCACACAGCTGAAACAGGCCTTTCCAAAGAAACAAAAACACTTTACTTACATCCAGTAGGAAAATAAAACTATAAAAATAGCCACATTTGCAAAGCCGTAGCCTTGATAAACGACCGGCCATAGACGTAGCACCAAGCTTATCAGCCCCAAGTCCCCTCATCTGTGCTGGAGGGGCTGGGTCAGTGGAGGTTCACAGGGGTCAGGCTTGCTTTCCTGATTCTTAAGAGCCGGGCGGATAACCCAGTCCAAGGCAAACACAAAACGACCCTCCTCGAAGCGCAAAGGGTTCTGTGTTTTGTTTAGTTTTTGTGCTCCTGACCCTGACCGATCCCGGAAGTATCGTGGGTTCTGGAATTCATAAGATTCTTCTAGTTCTTCTGGCTGCTGTGGAGAGAAGACAGTTCAGGTATTGGCATGAGCACTCTAGTCATAGTCTAATCAACCCCGGGGTGGTGGGGTGGTGTCCTGCAGATGTAGGACATGAGACAGGATCAGAGCTGCTCATCTCCTGCTCCTGGGCCTCATCCCAACACTCACCAAGGAGAGAGACAACCTACCTGATGGCCACGGTCAGACTGTGGTACCAGCGCAACAGCTCCTCCTGGTCCGTGGACATAAGCAGTAGCTTCTCATGAGGGAAGGACAGCTGGGGAGAGACCGTCGCTCAATGCATGGCTCAGAAAGGTCCAGGCTAACGCCGGAGGCCTTGCTGCTCCCATGGGGTCATTGAGGACTCATGTGAGATCTGGATATGAACCCAAAGACCCAGTTATCCTCTCCCAACGTAGCTGGCCCAATCCCTATGACAAGAGCCCAGGCCGAGGAGATAAACAGGTGCACAGGTATTTGAGGTATATGCCCGGCCTCTCCCACCTTACCTAGGACTCCCATCTTATCACTTACGCTGAGCAGCCCACCACAGGGGCCCCCCGAGTGGCCAAAGACCCTTTGGAGGTGGCACTGGGCCATGGGGTAGACGGCCCGGCAGACGAAGGTGCCACTCTGCAGCAGGTGCAACGGGGGCCGAGGCTTGGCCATGACGAGCACGTCCGAGAACAGGAAGAACATTCGGGGCCGGGGTTCCCCACGGGGAGGCACTACCAACAGCCAGCCCTGGCGCAGGAACCAGCGACCTGGGGGTGAGAGAGCTGTTACTCTCATGCGGCTCCAGGACCATGACCCGTGGGCATAAAAGAAAAGGGAGGCTGAGGAGGCTGGGCATGTGCTGGCAGTCAATACAGCGGGAGAGGGGTAAGGAAAGGGCAGGCTGAGGGCGAAGGCGGAAGGACGCAGACTACCTGTGGTGAGCCCCTTTGCCCGGCGGCCGCTGAGAAGGGCCTGGACACGGCGGAGGTGCTGGCCATTCTTCTGTTTCTGACCGATGGCGTGGACTCTCTGGGCGGTGTCACTTATCAGCCGAGCGGCCCCTGGAATAACATCCCCAGCACCTCTCTGACTCTGGGGACTGGTGGTGGAGAAAGGCTACTCCCTAAGGCCGTGGTCGGCAAACTGTGGCTCGCCAGTCACGTGCGGCTCTTTGGCCCCTTGAGTGTGGCTCTTCCACAAAATACCACGGCCTGGGCCAGACTATTTTGAAGAAGTGGCATTAGAAGAAATTTAAGTTTAAAAACTTGGGCTCTCCAAAGAAATTTCAATCGTCGTCCTGTTGGTATTTGGCTCTGTGGACTCATGAGTTTGCCGACCACGGGCCTAGGGAGCCAGGGTTCGGGCCTGGCTTGTTGAAGAGCAGGCGGGACAGCAGGAGCACCATGTACACGTCCAAGGAAGACAGGGTCATAGCAGACATGGCTGGAGGTCACAACCCAAAAGGGATACCAGAAAGGCAGCCTCTGTCTGCGGGTTTTGGCAGAGCAAGAACATACGTGTGAGCTGCTGGTGGTCCGGGCTGTGGGGACTTGTGTTTTCAGCCAAAGCAACAACAAGGTTTTCATACCTAGAATTATACAGTTAAAGTCTGTGAGGGGACATAGAGCTGGGAAACATTCCCTCTGCCTGACACACACACCACCCCTTCCACATACTTCCACGGCAGAGCCAGGAAAGATCTGCTCCAGCTTTGTGTCCCCGCTTTCAAAGCCTGACCTCACACCCCATTACCCTTTCCCGTCCCACACTGAAGCGTCAGGAGCAGACGCTTCAGAAATTCCAAACTGGACCAGCCTCTCATCTCAGCAAATTCTTCCAAATACGGTGTCACTAGCCCCGTGGTCAGCAAACTGCGGCTCGAGAGCCACAGGCGGCTCTTTGGCCCCTTGAATGTGGCTCTTCCACAAAACACCACGGCCTGGGCGAGTCTATTTTGAAGAAGTGGCGTTAACGTTTAAGTTTAAAAAATTTGGCTCTCAAAAGAAATTTCAATTGTTGTCCTGTTGATATTATGCTCTGGTGACGAATGAGTTTGCCGACCACCACACTAGCCCATTACAAGCCCCCGCGCTTCAGGGTAGAGCTCCAGAGTCCCAGCTGAGGGCCTGAGGCTGCAGACTCCAAGGACTCCAGTGGGTTCTCATTTGCTCTTGCAAAAAAGGATTTTGGGAGCAACTTGTCCCAGGAGAGAGGCATTGGGATAGACCCCATGAGTCCCACAGAGGCGAGAGACTCGGAGAAGCCGGCCGAGTCGGGGAGCATTCACTCATTGCTGGAGCCTCTGCAGAGGCAGAGGGAGCAGGTCCTGGAGCTGCAGGCCCCCGAACTCGGGGCGGCCTTCCTGAAGCTTCACGAACCTCCGGAAACGCTTGCTTTTCTTCAGTTGTTCCTGGAGCGAGGGGAAAGGGTTGGCAGCAGAGAGAGAAGCACTCCTTACACTGTGTTCACCTGTGCCACATCCCCAGCCCCCAGCAAGCTGTGTACTCCCGAGAGAACCCGTCTCCCTCCAGGGAACTCGGCACAGAACGGGACACCCAAAGGGCTCTATAAACGCAGGGACAGTTTGAAGTTTGGGTCTCCAGATGGAGAGGGAACGTATGGGGCAAGAGAGGAAGGACTTGAGGTCACCTTCAAGTTACCTGCAGGGTGGTCTGGGACGTCTCGGCGTTGGCAGCAAACTGGGTGTAGAGCTCCAGGCGGGGGCAGAAGCCCTCCAGCCCCGGCCCCCAGTGCCCTCCTTCCAGGTAGGGAAGCAGCTCTCTGCGCCGGTGAGGACGATACAAGAGCTGCGGGAGAACCGCTCAAGCACCTTTCATCCTTTTAACCCTGACCCGTGGGCAGCGCTGTCACCCCGTTTTACAGACGGAGACCTGGGGCCCTGGGCCAAGACCACAGGTGAGGTCACTGGCAGACTCGGAATATGAACTTGGGTCTCTCCGAGCAGCGCCAGAAGCCTAGGCGCTCGCTCCCTCCCTCTCCCCGCGCCCCTTCCACTCACTGGCTGGCGCCGTAAATGAGCTCCCAGGGCCCAAACAGGGCCTGGCGCTCCGGTGGCCGCAGGGTGCCCTTGGCTCTCAGAATGCTCACGAAGTACTGCGGAGAGAGAACACGGGCCTATGGTCTGCGGGAAGAGGCAACGCCAAGGCCATTTAAAGGAATAATAGGAAAAGCTATTGTAGAATCTGCAGAAGTCTGCCCAGCCCCCCAAATGCAGGAGGACAGAGCAAGACCCCGGTCCTCGGGATCACCGGCCTCGCAGAGACCCTCCCCACACCCCGGGCTCCCCGCCCCATTCGAGAGGGCACGCGGGCCCCCACCGTGGCCACCAGCCCCAGCTGCTCCTGGTAGCGCCGCTCGGTCTCCAGCAGCTCCCGGGCGGTGCAGGCGCGCTTCCGCTCCCAACGGGCACGCTGCTCTCGCACCGGGCACCGGGCCCCGGGGTCCGGGGTCTCCATGCCTAGCTGGCCGGCGGGCATTTCTGGCCACAGCCCGCCGGAGATTCAAATGCAAACCGCTCAGGGGCGGGGCGGCGTGGAGGAGCGCGCCCCCTGGCGCCCGGAGGCTGCGCCCAGGACGGAGCATGCGCGGCGACCTGCCCAGCAGCGTATGTCTCCGCCAGGACCTCGCCCCGCCGCCAGGGCGGCGCTGTAGGTACGTGACGTCCGGCGGAGAACAGAGTGGGGCAGGTGAGGAGCTCTCCTGAGTGGGTCTAACTGGGGCAGCGGCCTAGACTTTGAGCCGGCAGACTCGGGGGTGCAGGCACTGGTAGGGCCTGTGTCCTGTCGGTGGAATTGGGAAAGGCGCAATAGCTGCAGTACATATTCTGCACTGGGCCCATGCCGGACGCTGGGGTTCAGCTGTTTCCAATGCTTCTTTACAATTAGAGACTCTCACTAGTCAAAAAGTTTGAAATATTTTGGCCTTCGGACAGAAGTTTACAGGTTTTTCCCGGCAGGCAGTTCAGTGGTTGAGTGTCGACCGATACTATGAACCAGGAGGTTACATTCCGGTTGGTCAGAGCACGGGTTGCAGGCTCGACCCCAGTGTGGGGTGTGCAGGAGGCAGCCAATCAGTGATTCTCTTCATTGATGTTTCTCTCTTTCTCTGCCCCTTACTCTCTAAATATATATATTAAAGAGTTTATAGGTTTTAAGTTACTTTGTTTCTTATTACAAAACTTATTGCCAATTAGCTTCCAGTCAGCAGGTGTCAATAACTAACACAGTGGTTCTGAATTGCTTAATTATGGCCAACGGCAAGCCTGCAGTTGATTAGTCAGTGATACCTAGTCAAAGACAGTATGTAACAGATTTTCCCTTTTTAGCTCTAGTCTGGAGGGTCAATTGGCAAGTGCCTTTTTGTCGGTATGTATGCAAAATGTTAAAGTGTGCCTCTCTAATTGCCTAGCAATGCATTCTAAAGAAGTAGATACTTTGACAAAATTTTATGTGCCAAGATGTGAAGCACAACGTTGTAACAACTGATAACCTAAATGTCCAAAGGTAGTAAATTGGCTAGGAAAAATGTGGTACAGCCATTTGAAAGAATAATAGGAAAAGCATTAAAATGATGTTAAAAAGCTGTGAACATAGAGAAAGGTACATAGTGTATTCCTGAGAGAACAAAAGCAGACTATACAGCTGTTTGCACAAGATGATCTCATTTATGTATAATACATATGACTAAAAGGATAAAACAGTGGTTTTTATCTCTGGTGATGAGATTGAGAATAATTCATTCAACAGATATTTATTAAAGACCTACTCAGTGCCAGGAACTGGACCATTGAGGTTAAAAGAGGTGGTGAATAGGACTTTTCTGCCTTTCCTAGGTTTTCTGCTTGAGCTTACATTCATCACTTTGTAATCAGAAAAAAATATATATTAAAAACTCAGGTTTTAGACACACTTTAGACCCATGCTTATTATTCTGGACTCCTAGGAATCTGGGCACCACGCCAAGAACCAAGTTACTGTCAGGAATCTGAGGTCTCCTCTAGCTCTCTGACATTTTAGACAATCCGAGGAAGAAAAAATGCTGGTCATAGATCAGGGAGAAACAACTTGATGGGCTTGGTGGAGGAAAGAGAGAGTTTGGGTCAGACTGTACCTGGGAATGGGTCCCAAGGAGACTGGTGATGCGTATAGTGGGAAGCATGGTCTCAAGAGAATGTGGTTCCATTTGCAGTGGCCTAGACTTTGAGCCGGCAGACTTGGGGGTGCAGGCATTGGCAGGGCCTCACTAAGATCTCAAGTGAGGAAGGCGACAGATAATCCCATGGTGATTGGTATCTCCCTGAGGCCCGTTGATGAGAACAGCACAGCACCTCGGGGTGCAGTGGTGGTGGGTGTGCTGCCTGTGTGAGGGTGCTTTATAGAGCCTACTGTGAGCTCAGATGGGGGAGGAAGGAGAGGGAAATGTCGAGAAGATACAGTATAATTAGAGACACCTGATTTCCTGGAGACCGCATCTCTCCCAGAGCTAGTGAGGCACATCCCATGGTCTACCCGGAACAGACAGATTCTCTCCTCCCAGCTTTATCCCCACAGCCAAAGGCAGGCAGGACCAGTGGGAAAAGGTCAGAAGGCCGTCAACAACCTCTCTATTCTTTAATCACCCTCAACCTCTGCTCTCAGCTCACTGGTTGCTGGAGAAGCCCTAGGGATGCTTTGAACAACAATTGTCAGTTATTACACAAAAACTAAATGCCTCTTATATGCCACATCCTGTGCTAGGCAAGGAGATGAAACAATGGACAGTGAACTATGGCCTCTGCTGTTATTTATTTTTTTAAAAAAAATACATATATATTTTATTTTATTTATTTATTTATTTATTTATTTATTTATTTATTTATTTTACAGAGAGGAAAAGAGAGGGATAGAGAGTTAGAAACATCGATGAGAGAATCATCGATCAGCTGCCTCTTGCACCACCTCTACTGGGGATGTGCCCGCAACCAAGGTACATGCCCTTGATCGGAATCAAACCCGGGACCTTTCAGTCCACAGGCCGATGCTCTATCCACTGAGCCAAACCAGTCTCGGCGCCTCTGCTGTTATTGATGCTGATAGTCTAGCAGGGCAGACATGGTAAGGAGTCACCGCAAAGTGAGATAAAATTACAAAGTATAGACTTTTATTCGGGCAGGGAAGGCTTCTAGGAGTCAGGGAAGGCTTCTTGGAGGAAGTAACAATGTGAATTGATACTTGAAGAATAAGTAAAACCTGGTGGAGCAGGGTTGGCAGTAGGGTAGAGGTGAGAGAGACAAACTGCATGAACCAAGTTTGGAGATCACACACACACACACATACACACACACAGTGCATTCAAGGAACTTCTAGAAGTTCAGTAAGATTAGAGCATAGATTGCAAAGGAGAGAGTGATGAAAGAAGGAAACTGGAGAGAATGGAGGGAATTTAAACCAGTAAGACTATGTCATAAGTAATAGTAAATTCAAAGTGGCTAAATGGTATTTTATTAGCTTATGCAACTGAAAATCCAGATGCAGGTAGAGTTAGCTTAATCCAGCAACTCAATAATATTATCAGGGACTTAGGATGCTTATCAAGTAGGTGCTTATGGATCTGACATGGAGAAGAGAGTACAAGCTTGGGATACTTGTCTGTCATGAACTTGTAGAAACCATGGAAGTAGATGAAACTGCTTACAAAGAATATGAAGAGGGATAAGGGCAGGAGGCATGAGAATTTCCAACACAAGCCCGTTTCTTCTCATCCTGTGCTAACAGTGGCTAACATCAGTTCTAACATGGCTAATGTTACAGTGGGCTGAATGGTGGTCCCCGCAAAGATATGTCCTTACCCTAACCCAGCAGCCTGTGATTATGAACTGATTTGGAAAAGGGGTCTTTGCAGATGTAATTAAGTTAAAGATCTTGAAATAAGACCGTTCTGGGTTATCTTGGTGGACCCTCACCAATGGCGCATTCCGAAAAGCGGCGCCGTGGGGAGACAGGGAGGAGGCCATGTGAGCTGGAGGCAGTGATCGGAGCTCTGCAGCCACAAGCCCAGGAATTCCCGGAGCCGCCAGAAGCTAGAAGAGGCTCTGAAGCTTTCAGGAGGAGCAGGGTCCTGCCAACGCTCTGATGTCAGATTTCTGGCTTCCAGGAGAGAGAAGTTCTGTTGTCCTGAGCCCCCCAGTTGGTGGTAGTTGGTCACAGGAGTCCCATGAAATAACACAGATGATGGGGTCGGCCTCGAGGCCCCAGAAGGACTTCGGTCTGTCTTTGCCTCTAATCCATGGCTGGGGAGTGGGAGGCTTTTCTCCTCCCATCAGCGAATGGCTCCCTCCTCTGCCAACAGACCCTAACGACCAAAGACTTGGCCTTAAATAAGGTTGTGCACCAGGTGGGGGAGGAGGCAGTCAATTAGTCCTGAGTACACTCTGTCCCACCCTGGGGAGCTCAGGGAACAAGATCCTGGGAGCTCAAACCTGTTTGGGAGTTTGGCACATTCCCAGCTGGGAAGGTCTGATCCCAGGTCACAGTCCACATTCCCCACCCAGACCACAGACACAGCCACACACAGAGACAGAGAGCTCAGGAGGGAGGCAGCACCAGGCAGCATGACATGGGGAAGCAAAGGGAGCTCTGCACCTGGACCCCGGTCTGGACTCTGAAATGCTGAGAGAAAGCAGCAGAGAGGGCAGGGGGACGTGTGGACACACAGAGAAATGCACTAAGAGAGCCTCAGAGAGACCTGAAGAGGAACAAGATGGAAACATTCATACTATTTGGAAAGAGGGGAAATGAAATAAAGCTGGCAGCTGTGTTGAAGAAAGATGCCCAGACATAAGGACCCCAGACTCCAGTTAGCATGGTGTTTCTGTCTCCGGTGCTTCCCATAACCTCTTCCACCTCAACTAGATGGCTTGTTTCCACATTCCATCTTGTCCAGGTCCATTCAGTTTAGATATTGCCATGGACTTTCCATGTGTCAGGGGTCCACTAGGGTGCTAACAACACAGCTGACCCAATCAATGAGCTGATCACCCAGGGTGCACACTGGATCAAACTGCCACCGATGGAGGGCTCTTACTTTGGCTCCAGAAACTGCAATCTAGATGGTTAGGCTAATTACTTTCTAGAATGATTGCTTCAAGAACAGCTGTTGTTCAGCCATGTAAGTTTTTTTTTAAGAAAAATATATTTTATTGATTCTTTACAGAGAGGAAGGGAGAGAGATAGCTAGAAACAATGATGAGAGAGAAACATCGACAGCCGCCTCCTGCATCCCCTACTGGGGATGCGCCCGCAACCAAGGTACATGCCCTTGACCGGAATCGAACCTGGGACCCTTCAGTCCTCAGGCCAATGTTCTATCCCCTGAGCCAAACTGGTTTTGGCAGCCATGTAAGTTTTTGGTGTACAGTAGAGCAGTCACTCTGACAAGGCATAAAATGGGGTGCCATAAAAATGCGGTGTTATGTTCCTGGAACAGTTGTGGTTCAACATGCGCAGGTCATGGGCAATGAGCTCCTTTCCCTGAGGGCAAAGAAGTCAGCTTAGTCAACTGGGTTTTCTCAAGTCCAGGCAAGGTGATCTGCAGAGAGACAAAAGGTGATCGCTGTTGAGTAAAAGAATGACTCACTTAATCAATCAAATACTAAACCCTGCCTTCATGGAGCTAAGGTATTAGGACAGATAAAAATGTCATAAATCATCTTAATATGAATTAGATGGTGGGCAAGGTTATGAGCGAGAGCAGACAAAGCACTGTGGGGGCTGAGGCACCAGAAATCTCTTTCTACAGGGCAGAGTTAATCAAGAAAGACTTCCTGGAAGAAGTGGCCTTTGAGCTGAGCCTTGAATAATAGAAGGGATTTAGACAGGGGAGATGGTGAAACTATTTAACATGGTAGCGGGTGCACAAACACTGGTCCATCTGAGTGGGAGCTGGCTCAGGCATGCTAGTGGGAATCTGGAGCCCTGCTGTGAAAAGAGGCCGTGAGGAGGTTGGGAGCGTCCCCAGGAAGGAGCTGGGGTAGCAGGAGCACTCTGGAGTGAGGGGCTCGTTACCAACAGAATTAGAACTATCTCAATGTATTTAATTAGCCGAAACCGGTTTGGCTCAGTGGTAGAGCGTCGGTCTGCGGACTGAAAGGTCCCAGGTTCGATTCCGGGCAAGGGCATGTACCTTGGTTGTGGGCACATTCCCAGTAGGGGATGTGCAGGAGGCAGCTGATCGATGATTCTCTCTCATCGATGTCTCTAACTCTCTATCCCTCTCTCTTCCTCTCTGTGAAAAATCAATAAAATATATTAAAAATATATATATATCTATATATATATTTAATTACCTTTTCCAGTCATACAGATGCACAATACCTACTGAAGGTTAGTTTCTGTTATGAACCCTCTGAGATGGCCTTACTCTGATTTGGTTTGTCGAAGCCATAGGGGCCTTACTGCAATGTGAGCTACAGAACGGGAGAGCTGTTTCCGTCCAATGCTCTATCCCTGGGGCCTAGAACCGTTCCTGGAGGATTGGAGGAGGCTCAATAATTGTTCGTTAAACGAGTGGGCAGAGACTGGGAGCCCCAAGCCCATATTGGGGTCCTCTCATTTGTCTCCTAGCACCCACTCTCTCCCTCCTCTCCATGCTCCACACCAGCCCTCAGCATGACCTAATATGGGGATTACATTCTGTCATTCTCCCAAAGTATTTGATGCCTCCCCTTTGCCCAGAGTACCATCCTCCCATTGTTACTACTGAATTAAACTTCTACTTTTTCACAGCCCTGACCACATTTTCCTACTTCTGAGTTACTCCCTGAGGCAGAACTCATCTCTCTCCCCTAAATCTTATGGTAGTGTTCGCCCTCACCCCCTATTCAGTGAGCTCCTCAGGCAGCAGCTGTGTCTCAGTGGTCCTTCTAGACCAGTGCCTGACATATGTTATATACTGAATAAATATCTGTTACCTATAAGGGTGAATGGCTGCCCTGGCCAGTGTGACTCAGTTGTTTGAGTGTCTCCTGGTGCACCTGAAGGTTGCCGGTTTGATTCCCAGTCAGGGCACACGCCTGGGTTTCGGGCTTGATTCCCAATAGGGGGCATACAGAAGATAGCCGATCAGTGATTTTCTCTCGTAGATGATTCTCTCTCCCTTCCTCTCTCTCTAAAAAATCAATAATGACGTGTTTTTTAAAAATCCATTAAAAAAAATTTAAAAGGTGTGAATGGCAGGCATTCCCAGGAGTGAGAACTATATGAAGGAAGGCGTTTATTTTGGGGGGGAAATGAATGGTTTAATGTGGCTGGAATATGAGGGGCAGCAGGAAGAGATAAGATGGGAAGGTGTGTTGGGTAAGATTTTGCAGGGATGTGGGAGTCAGCTAGAGGGAGAAGATGGGCAGGTGGAAGATACTTCGATAGACGGTAGGAAGTCAATGAGAGGTTTTGAGCCGAGGTGTAATATGATGAAAACCGGGTTTACTTTAAGCCCATCAGAGTCCCTCTCACACATGTGCTCAGTGTTCCATTCATACTCAAATTAACCTCCCACCTATGCCACCCCTTTCCCAGGGCTCCTGAGGCAGCTCGCCCTACCCCTTTCCCTGCTCCCTGGCTGGTGAGGTCTGTTCCCCTCTCCCTGTCTTTCCCCTTCCCTGCCTGGGGCTGGGAGGCAGGCCAGGGTTAGCTGAGGCTGGCTGGCAGGCAGCCTGGTGGTGCCAGGGAAAGCCTGGGCAGTGCCAGGTGGTGCCTTAAGTTCTGGGCTCACACCATGACCCCGATAACCTTGTGCCTGCGCACACACCTGCCCTCACCCCACCCCGATCCGGGCTGTGGTATCGGGGAGGGGGGCACAGGGCCAGGCAGAACGGAGGGACTTTGGCTCCATCTCTGCAGAAGGGCGCTCTGTGAGTCAGCCCGCTCCCCTCCAGGCTTGCTCCTCCCCCACCCAGCTCCAGTTTCCAATGCACGTACACCCCGTACACACCGTGTCTGGGACGCCGTACCGCCAGCCACATGGCTCCCCTGTGCCCCAGCCCCTGGCTCCCCCCGCAGATCTCAGCCCCTGCTCCAGGCCCCGCCGTGCAACTGCTGCTGCTCCTGCTGCTCCTGGTCCCTGCCCATCCCCAGAGCCTCTCCCGGATGCAGCGGACGCCCTCCCTGGGAGGAGATTCCTCTGGGGAAGATGATCCCGGGGGCGAGGAGGACCTGCCCAGTGAGGAGGACGCACTATCTGCAGAGGGGGACACAGCTGGAATGAAGACTGAGCCAGAAGAGGACTCTCTGAAGGTGGAGGATCTGCCCACTCCCGCTCCCAGCGACACGCACAGGCACAAAGGTACGGGGTCCTCGGCCCTCCAGGTCTGGGCTCCGGGCCTGTGCTTCCTTTCACCCAACTCCCGCCCAGGCGGGGACTATTCAGGGGAGAGCGGCCTGTCCTCTGACAGGGCCTTTCCCAGCTCTCCCCCTTTCAGAGCGAGAAGGGCATGGATGGGGAGACAGAAAGGAGGCCCAGATGGAAAGAGATAAGCAGGAAGAGGTGGGAAAGAAAGAAAGGGGAAGGTTGGAGAGGAGAAAGGCACTAGAACCATAAGAAGAGAGAACACGCAGGTCGAGAGGAGGAAGAGGGTGAGGGGAGCGAAGAGGAAAGAGGGGGGCTCCGGAGGAAGTGCGGGAGAGCCTGTGGAGGCCACCTCGTCTTCAGGCTACAGGTGAGGACACAGACCTGGGAAGAAGGAAGTAGCCAGGAGGGGCCCTGGTATCGTGACTCCCCAGCCAGGAACTTTGGGGGGGGAAAAGAGCTGGAGACCAGAAAGGAAAGAGCGTTGAGTGGGGAGGAGGGACAGGTAAGGGAGAGAGGAAAGATGCTCTATTGATTTGGGCCTGGGCCTGAGTCCCCCTCCCCCCATTTTACTAGCACAGTGGCTGCAAACTGGTGGGCCGGTGGGATCTCAGCTGAAGGCCTTTCTGTTACCCACGGAGCCTCTGTAAGGCGGCTGGGTTTGTGGAGCCTGGCCAACGAGGGGGGCCGCCTCGTCCTGGTCAGTGGGGAGGGTCTGGGCTCCAAGGTCTCACTCCTGACACTTCTCCTTCATGTAGGGGATGACCACAGCCATTGGCGCTATGGAGGTGAGTCAATCCCTTTCCCGCCCCCCAAACCCTCGACCCAATCTGGGCACCCACGCCTGCTGATCTGACCCCCAACCATCACTGAACTCCAGTCCTGGGCATCCCACCCACGGCATCCACACCTGCCCCGTGTCTTGGGACTCCACCTCTCGCTTTTCATTCCCTAGAGCAGTGTTTTCCAAACTTCTCTCAGGATGAGAATCACCTGGTGGAGTTGTTAAAACACAGATTCCCGAATCCCAACTAAGAAGTGCTAAACTAGAATTTTTGGGAGCATATAGGTAAAATTGTATACTTAACTAGTGCTCTTAGTATACTTAACTTGTCTTAGACTAGTGCTCTAAGACAGAGAGCACTAGTTAAGCATACAATTTCAACTATATGTTCCCCCAAAATTCTAGAATTTTGGGGGAACATATAGGTAAAATTGTATATTAAGAGCACTAGTTAAGTATACAATTTTACCTATATGCTCCCAAAAATTCTAGTTTAGCACTTCTTAGTTGGGATTCGGGAATCTGAAGTTTGACAACTCCACCAGGTGATTCTCATCCTGAGAGAAGTTTGGGAAACACTGCCCTCGAAGCTCCTGATCGCCTCCCTAGACTTCCTGTTCATCCTCTCCCCCTCCCCGCAGGCGGCCCGCCCTGGCCCCAGGTGGCCCCCTCCTGCGCGGGCCGCTTCCAGTCGCCGGTGGACATCCGCCCGGAGCACGCGGCCTTCTGCCCCGCCCTGCGGCCCCCGGTGCTGCTGGGCTTTGAGCTGCCGCCGCGCCCGGAGCTGCACCTTCGCCTCCGGAACAACGGCCACACCGGTGAGGGGGCCGGGCGGGGCCTTGGGCAGGGGCGGGGCGAGCCGGGATGGGGACGCGGGGCGTGGGGAAGAGGGGCAGTCCCTGTGATGCTTGGGCAGTGTTTCCCCAACTTCTCTCAGGATGAGAATCACCTGGTGGAATTCTTAAAACACAGATTCCTGAATCCCAACTAAGAAGTGTTAAACTAGAATTTTTGGAAGCATATAGGTAAAATTGTATACTTAACTAGTGCTCTTAGTATACTTAACTTGTCTTAGACTAGTGCTCTAAGACAGAGAGCACTAGTTAAGTATACAATTTTACCTATATGTTCCCCAAAATTCTAGTTTAGCACTTCTTAGTTGGGATTCAGGAATCTGTAGTTTAACAACTCCACCAGGTGATTCTCATCCTGAGAGAAGTTTGGGAAACACAGTGCTTGGGGATGGATTGGGCTGGCTCTCAGGGCTGGAGCCCTCTCACCGGCTCTCCCTCCCACGCAGTGCAGCTGACCCTGCCTCCGGGGCTGCAGATGGCCCTGGGCCCCGGGCGGGAGTACCGGGCCCTGCAGCTGCACCTGCACTGGGGGGCTGCGGGCCGCCCCGGCTCGGAGCACACGGTTGGCGGCCACCGGTTCCCTGGTGAGGTGAGTGTGTAGCTAGCCGTCTGCAGCAGCAGCAGCAGCAGCAGCAGCAGCAGCAGCGGGGCGAAGGAGGGCGCTGGCGAGGGGAGCATGCCCATTCCTACCCACCTGTCCTCTCCAGATCCACGTGGTGCACCTCAGCACTGCCTTTGCCACAGTGGACGAGGCCTTGGGGCGCCCAGGGGGCCTGGCCGTGCTGGCCGCCTTTCTGCAGGTAGGAGCCCTGGTTGTCCCCCCACACCCGTCCTGCCATGTCCCCAGGCTCAGTGTATTTCCCCCCAGAGACCCATCCGAGCACACGCACCCTGGCACCTGCTTATCCTCATTCACTCCTGAGTTCATTCCTTCAACGCCACTATGAGGGAGGCATTGGGCCTAACAAAGGATTCAGACACTGTGGGTCCCTGTCTCCAGTGAGTCCACAGCCAGTGACGGGCGGCCCATAGGCAGACATACGCAAAGGACAGGGTAAAAGAGGTGGTCAGGGAAGGCTTCTCGGAGGAGGCGACACTTGAAGGCTTCACCAGTGGGGAAGAAAAGATGTCCCTGCAGAGCAAATGGTGTGTCTGTGCAAAGACTCAGAATGTGGCCCACTCGGGGAATGACAGATGCAATACAGTGGGCATCAGGAAGAGCAATTTCTTTAATGCCCCCCTAACAATAACATCCCCTCTGTGAAATGCAACCCAGTCTCAAGAAACATTTAGTGACCTCTTTTCTTTGGCCCGGTAATGATTAAGACTACATGCACAGTGATTAGAGGAAGCTGGTAAAATGGAGAGAGAGACCTTGAGACACGTGCCAGGCTCATTCACACCCTAACGGACTCCTTCACGCGAGCCTCACAGCACAAAGTTCAGAGACGGGCCTCAGAGAGAACATGCGCTGGCTCCAAGTCAATCACATGGATTGTTAGGGTGGATGCAGAGGTAGCGTGAGTACAAAGGTCATTGCAGTTCTCAGGAGTGGGGCCCAGGGCATGCAAGCCTTGTGTCTTAGTGATCCACCCTCCTCCGCCACCGCCTCCTCCCATTTGCCATTGCAAACTAGCCTGCAGAGCTTGTTGGGTTAGTTTGCAGAGTAAGTCAACTCTGAGTAATAACGCCTGAGATTTTGTGTTTCCTCCGGCATTCTCAGAGCTGAGCAGTGAGGGAGGACTCTGGGAACCCGCCTCACCTTCAGGCCTCTCGCCCGGGCCCTAGATTCATGTGTTACCTGTCCTGCCCTGTCACCTCCTAGGAAGGCCCGGAAGAGAACGGTGCCTACGAGCAGCTGCTGTCTCATCTGGAAGAAATTGCTGAGGAAGGTAAGGAGATGGGGCTCTCCCGGGAGCGGGCTGATGTGTGAACTGGATGACTATGATCCTGATGACAACGATGAAGTTGAACAGAGGCAAACACGCAAAGGCAAATTTCTGCCCACAGGTTTTATGGTTTAAAAACCAAACACCGAGCCAAAACCGGTTTGGCTCAGTGGATAGAGCATCGGCCTGTGGACTGAAAGGTCCCAGGTTTGATTCCTGTCAAGGGCATAAACATTGGTTGTGGGCACATCTCTGGTGGGGGATGTACAGGAGGCAGCTGGTCCATGATTCTAGCTCTCTATCCCTCTTCCTTCCTCTCTGTAAAAAAAAAAAAAAATATATATATATATATATATATATATATATATATATATATATATATATATATATATATGAAATTTGGGGAAGGAACTGGAATTTGCTCTTAAAAAAATAATAATATAAAAAAATAAAAACCAAACACCGCATAAGAAACCAAAATAAAACAAAAACCAAATAAGACCAAAAAGTTTGGAACTTCTGGGGTTGAGTCTGGGGAGCTCAAATTTTTCTGAGAACTATCTATTCCTCATAAGCATCACACATTTTTATTTATTAATTCATTCATTTATCTATTTATTATTTTTTATTGAAAGGCTGCATGGCTCGGAAGTTCAGGTGTAGCCAGGAGTCCGCAGGTCCCCACAGGGAATCAGAGAGGGTGTGGAGCTGTGAGGTCAGAGAGGAAGGGAGAGGGGGAGAGAGAGAAACGTCAGTGGAGAGAGAGGATCACTGACCGGCTGCCTCCTGCACGCCCTGCCCCGGAGCAGCTCGGGCGCAGTTCTCTCTCTGCGAGGCCCCGAGCTCTTTGCTTTCTCCTGCGTCATCTTGTGCCGCGTGTGGGGAAGGGACGCACTTAGTGAGGCAGCCGTCTCGGGGAACTGGGTCAGCTTGGCTTCCGCGATATGAAACGGTGCCCCTAGACCCAGGGCTTGGGAGGGGGCCGTCTACGTGAGACCCCAGCGCAGGCCCTCTCCGCAGACTCAGAGGCTCAGGTGCCAGGACTGGACGTGTCTGCACTGCTGCCCTCGGATCTCAGCCGCTACTTCCGATACGAGGGGTCTCTGACCACGCCCCCCTGTGCCCAGGGCGTCATCTGGACTGTTTTCAACCGGACAGTGAGGCTGAGTGCTAAGCAGGTGGGGGCTGGGCATGTGGGGATGTGGCGGAGAGGGGAGGTCGGAGAAGGGGTCCGGAAAGAGGAGGATAATGAAAGGGCGTGTGGGAAAGGGGGGAAGCATGGAGGGTGGAGACCTGTGGCACCCTCTGTGAATGGGCCTTTAATCCGTTTCCTCGTCTCCGGCCCCCCTTCCGCTGGCCAATGACCTGCACAGCTCCACACCCTCTCGGACTCCCTGTGGGGGCCTGAGGACTCTCGGCTGCAGCTGAACTTCCGGGCCACGCAGCCTCTGAATGGGCGGACGGTGGAGGCCTCCTTCCTTGTCGGAGCGGAGCGGCGGGCCGCCCAGGCTGTCCAGCCAGGTGCGGCTTCGAATGGTGTACCAGCCACAGGTCTGTCCTCCTCCCAGGCGCCCGCTTTTGTCTGCACTGGTGCTCACAGCCCCGGCTCTAACGTCTCCCTTTCCTCTTCAGTCCACCTGAGCTCCTGCCTCGCTGCCGGTGAGTCTGCGCCTCTCCTCTGGCCCCTGACGCTGGGGACAGCCCCTGGCACAGCTTAGTCCCAGGGGCTGGTGAGGGTCATGTCCACTGCCCTTCCTTTCCTGCAGCACAGACCTCCAAACCCCATGGGATAGAGCAGTGTTTCCCAAACTTTTGACATATGTGCACCCCTTCTGTAATTTCCGTAACGCTGAGTACCCCTCGGACTCATGAGAACGTAGAATTTGGCGCAGCCAAGCACGGTGCAGTGCATATCCCCACCAAACTCCGGTGCAATGAGTACCCCCACCAAACTCTTCCCGTACCCCTGGGGGTAGGCGTACCACACTTTGGGAAACACTGGGCTAAAGAGTCAGATCACAGTGGGGGTTTTTTATTGGCAAGAGTTGGTCGGAATGAAGCTCCAAAAATCTAGCAGGTCCTTCCCAAATGACCTCTTTTATGTCATTGTTTAGGGAGGAAAAAAGGTGCATGTGGCCTCCCTTCTTGTGTATCCATCTCCATCCCTTTACTGGTCTCTTGTAGATTCTAACGGCAGCCGGAGGACGTAGGGCTGGGTTGGGGACACAGGCATAGGGAAGTAGGCCCTGCAGGAACCCTCCTGGCTCTCACCCCCTGAGGCGTCCCTGCTCTCCCTACAGGTGACATCCTGGCCCTGGTTTTTGGCATTCTCTTTGCTGTGACCGGCATTGCCTTCCTTGTGCTCCTTGTGCAAATGAGCAGGCGGCAAAAGTATGTACGGTCCTGACCCAGTCCCTCAGGCACAGCCCCCACTTCCTGTGTGGAGTCCGGAACAGCTTCATGCAAATTGTGCACAAACGAGCTGGTCCTGGGCCAGCTTTCTGATTAGGCTTCCCTGTCGTGTAGACATCCGAGTGGCACCAAAGGGAGCGCCAGCTACCACCCAGCAGAGGTCACCGAGACTGTGGCCTAGAGGCCTGGCGCTTGGAGAATGTGTGGAGGAGCCAGCCGGAGGGATCGGAGGGGCGCTGGACACGGGTCTGCCCTGCCTATCACACCACTTCCTTTTCCATCACCCAATATTTTTTAAAAAAATAAATGTTTCTAATAAAATATGTGGAAGGTAGCTTTGTTCCCCAAATCAGGATAGTGTATCCATTTCCCACTGCTGCCATAACAGACGATCCCAAACTCGATGGTAACGTGGACTTACTCATTTAGACTTCTGGAGACGAGAAGTCCAAAATGAATCTTAAGGGCTAAGGTCCAGGTGTTGGCAGGCCTGGACGTTGAGGGGAGAATGTTTCCCCGCCTCTTTCAGCTTCTAGAAGCCGAGCATTCCTCAGCTGGCGGCCCCTGCATCACATTACTCCACTGTCACATCTCCCGCATCCACTCTTGACCTTTTTGCTTCCCTCTTCTATGGACCCTTGCGATTCCAGGGGGCCTAGTTAGATAACCCGGGTAATCTCCCGTCTCAAAACTCTTAGCTTGATCACAAGGTCCCTTTCCCATGCAGAGTAACATTTCACAAGATTTGGGTGTGAACATCTCTGGTGGTGGGGGTCATTCTGCTCTCAGGAAGGGGACAGAAACGACTGAGATTGTTGAGATGGTCATGTGCCGGGGGAGGTGCGCGCATGCACACGTGTATGTGTATGTAGACCAGTGTGTGTCACTGGGAGTAGGGCAGGCTCAGTGTCTCGGCTTAAAATCACTTTGCGGCTTTGGGGCTTTCCCCTGCTCCAGTAAAATCTGTGTAGCTTTGCAGTTTCGTCTTCAGATTATGTTGTCTGGCTCGGCCGCCTGCTGGAAGGGGGCCATGGTGCTGACAGCAGCTCCTCTGCCCTTTTGGGAGGAAAGGCCAGGATGTAACCCCAGCCCGACGGGGCCTCTCTGCTCCACACGGCCTGCTCACCCCCACTCCTAACTGAGCACAGCGCCCCCACCCCTCGGCTGCCATCAGAAAGGAAGTCTTGTCCCAGATCAGAGAACCAGGGGCCCTTCCGACGCCATCGCTCCCCTCTGGCTTCACCTCAGCCTTCTGCATGTTGGAAAACCACCACCACCACTGCCAACACGAAAGAAAGGCTTAACGGGCCCTGCGATACCGGCAACATCAGCTTTATTGTGCTGGGGCGGCAGCCAGAGCCCGGCTGGAGGCGGGCCAGCCTCACAGGTTGTTGAGTTCCAGCAGGGTCTGGTCGAGGGTCTGGTGAATCTCCACGTTCTCCTCCTTGGCACTGGCCAAGGTCTCTGTGAGAGGAAGCAGCACATGAGGAGGGGAGGGGAGACACTAGGGGAGAGACACAGGGAGGCATGGACAAGGGGGGTGACAAACAGACATGGGGCACATGTTGGAGGCACACGAAGACATAACATTCAGGGATCTGGGGACCCCAGGGAAGGGGCAAATGGGTGACCTGACCAGGACGGACAAGAATGCCTCACTCAAGACTCTGGGGTCATGGCGGTGGGATGGGAAGGCCTAAGCTATAAACTAATTTACCATTCTTCTTTAGAAGGTTTAAGAGAACTGGAAACAGAAGGAGGGACAAAGACTGAGCCAGGAAAGAGAGGGATAGACAGACAGACAGACAGACTCGAGGCAGAAAACAGACCTGCAGTGAAAACCCCACGGTTGCTGGCATCCAACATGTTTCCAAACTTCATCTCAGACCTTTCACAACCTTCTCACCCCTCCCCTGCACGTCACCACCCCATTTCCCTCCCGGTCATTCCTTGAGGTCCTGGAACCCCAGCTTAGCGCTCCAAGGTCAGTGGCGGGCCTGGGCTGCAGAGGCACCGGAGAGCTCAGGGTGACGGACGGTCATACCATGCCCACATGCGGCGGTGACAGAGGGACAGGGGTGCGTGCCATGCAGAGGGGGTTTGGTGTGGGCCACAGAGTTTTGTGGGTGTCACAAGATTGGGGTGTCTATAGGAGCCAAGGTCTCAGCAGTGCTCTTGTGGGGGTAAAGGAAGTGCTCGCTGGAGGACAGGAAAACAGCACGGAGACCAAGTTGAGTTTATTAAGCAGCAGAGAGAGGTAGAGGCTGGAGGGTGGAGTGATGGGGAGAAGGAGGAAGCAAGTGCCAGGGTGGGCAGCACGTGTGATGGCTGTGCAGTGTTGGCAATTTCTCTCCTCCTGCCTGATCCCTCCTCGGAGAGAGAATAGAAAGGAGTGGAGAGGAGGGGCCGAGAGGGCCACACTGGTAAGGGGCTCAGAGAGAGGTGATGTCGTTGAGCGCGTTGTCCAGTTCCTCGCTGATGGCCTTGTACTTCATCTTCTGCGCATAGACTTCGTCTGGAGGGGGTCCAGGGGTGGGTGGGAGTGTGGGGAGAGGGAACAGAGGGGAAGAGGAAAGGCAGGAGAGAGGATAATGGAAAGAGAGAATGAGAATCAGAGAGAGGCGGGCAGAGACGAATGAGAGAGACCACAGAGCAGGCTGGACAGTCCTCAGGGCTCCCTCCTCCCTTCTCTGTACCCCTTTGCCCTTTGTTCCTCTCTGAACCCTAAATTGGTTCTTCTGCCAGGAGGTGCTGCCTCCTCTGGGGACCCGGGGGCACAGTGCTTTTGATAGGCAGGAGTGCTTGCTTCAAGTAAAGAGCGTTCAAGCCAGAAAGACGTAAAGTCTTACAAAGTGGGAGGTAAGACGGAGGCCTGCCTGAGAAGGCTGGACGCAGGAGAAATTGGAATTGTGAAAGTTAAGGCTCATAGGCAGGAAAGTCAGTTCTAGGCACGGTGTTGTTGACAGTGAGAAACAGCCTTAGCCTAGCAAACACCTGCATGATTGTTTACGCCAAATCTAGCTTAAAATCGTACTTTACATCACTGTCGTCTTGCACACCTAGATATTAAACCAAAGAGCTCTCTGTGTCATAAAGACCCCTCTGTGATATGGCTCTGCTGTGCTGCCCTTGGAGACGGACTTGTCTACATCAGTGCTACTCAAAGTGTGGTCCGAGGACCCACCGGCAGCATCAGCGTCGCCAGAGAGAGCTTGTTAGATGTACAAATTCTCCCGCCCAAAGTCAGCCATCATTTCGGAGCAGGACCCAGAAATCGGCCTTTTGAAACCTCTGGGGCACTCCCAAGCATGCTCCAGTGTAAGAAGCACCGGAGGGGCAGCTGTTACAAGTGTTTACCCGGTAGGCACTGAGCACCGCAGTGTGTGGGGTCTCAGGTGGTACAGCCCTAGTTTACCGGTCACAGATATCATGGGATGTGGAGAAAAGGGGTGAGCCTACAGTCGCAGGGAGTGCAGTTTGGGGGCGGAGGGGCGACCCCCTTTACCTTCCAGGTCATCGATGGTTTTCTCCAACTTTGCCACGGACCTTTCGGCAAACTCGGCTCGGGTCTCAGCCTGGGAGTGTAAAGGCAAGAGGCGGAAATGACCAAAAAAGGAGGCCCTCCCAGGTCCTATCCCTGAAGTCAACCTTTTCTTCTATCCCGACCTCCAGACCCGCTGCTCCAGGCGGGGAAGGTGGGGACTGGAAGGACTCTCACCTCCTTCAGCTTCTCCTCCAGCAGTTTGATCTCCTCTTCGTATTTGTCCTCTTTGGTGGAGTACTTTTAGGGACATACACACGCCATTAGTAGGTTGCCTCCGCAGATCCTTCATGTCTCCTCAGCCCCGCAGGCGACTCACGATCTTGTCTCCATGGCCCATCCAGCCCCGCCCTGCCTGGGCCCGTCGCCTCCCTCCCCTGCAGGACCCCGTCCTCACTGCCCCTCTGCCCCCCTCTACCTTGTCTGCTTGGGCTTCCAGGGATTTCAAGTTGTTGGTAACAATTTTCAGCTCCTCCTCTAGGTCCCCACATTTACTGCAGGGAGTGTGTGGCGGGGTGGGGTGTGAGGGCACAGTGGGGGCAGACGGCGGAGATGGCACAGTGGGGGAGGGGGAGGAGAGAAGAGAAGAGCAAAGTTGTGAGAGTGACAGCAGGCAGCGCTCGCTCGGAGGCCCCAGGCCCTTCCCGACCCCCAGCAGACGAGAGAGAGCAGCCTGAGATGGAGGGGAAGGTGAGATGAGAGAAGGCGCTGTTGCCCAGAAAGGTCCAGAGAGGTCACTACCTCCTCCTCTGAAGCTATCAGGGACTTGAGGGCCTGGTCCATGGTTCGAAGTTCCTCCTCGAGCTGCCTGGCTCGGCTGGGGGCAGCGGGTAGGGGTCAGGGGACAGGACCTGTCCCTGTGGCCCCAAGTCTTGAGAAGCTGCTTCCCCACAGTGCAGAGTGCCCCACAGTCATGGGCTCAGGCTAAGTTTCACTCCCACCCCCGGGTAACCTTACCTCTCAGCCACCTCAGCTCTTTCTTCCGAGCGCTCTAGCTCCCCTTCCAGGATCACCAGCTTCCTGGCCACCTGAGGCAAGGCAGGAGAGAGAAGGAAGAGATCCCTGGTGAATGACGGGGGGGGGGGGGGGGGGAGATGCGATACGGGGTGGGTTGTGGAGCTTGGGAGTGAGAAGGAAGTGGAGCAGGGCTGTCACCTCCTCATATTTGCGGTCTGAATCCTCAGCGATGTGCTTGGCTTCCTTCAGCTGCATCTCCTGCAGCTCCATCTTTTCCTCATCCTTCATGGCTCGGTTTTCAATGACCTTCATTCCTCTGAGAGGCAGAGAGTTGGGTGAGGGTTGGGGGTGGGGGTCAGGACCAGCAGAGACAGCATCCCCCTTTCCTGGCTCAACCCCGAGGACCCCCTGCCCACCTCTCGCTCTCATCAGCTGCCTTCTCAGCTTCTTCCAGCTTTTGCAGGGCGGTAGCGAGACGCTCCTGAGCCCGGTCCAGCTCTTCCTCTACCAGCTGAATGCGGCGGTTCAGGGAGGCCACATCTGCCTCAGCCTATGGGTCAAAGGTGAGAGATCAGACAGGCTTCGTCTACCTTGGATGAGGATCAGGGAGGCTCCAGAGGATGGTAAGATTTTTAAAATATATATATATATTTTTTTTATTGATTTTTTACAGAGAGGAGGAGAGAGGGATAGAAAGGCCGGTCAAGATAAGGGAGTGGGGAAGAATCAGGCCAACCTAACATAAAGCTGCCAAAAATAGCCAATCATAGACTCAAGCTCAAGTGATGTCATCAGTTGCTAGGCAGATTCCCAGCAAGGGGCCTGGAGGAAAGCCTGTATGGGACATCCAGGGCTGTAGCAAGGGGTTCCCTGGCAAGATGGAGAGGCAACTGGGGGCAGTGCAAGGGCAGTGTGAGTGACGGACACTCAGACACTGATCCTAAAATACAGCGGCAAAACATGGAGGCTTTGGAGAAGGTCCATGGAAATCTGATACCTTGAGAAAAAGAGAGGGCAGAGCAAGAAGGAAGGGCTCCAACAAAAGAAAATGAGAGAAGCAGTCTAGTTTGGAATTAAGAGTATCGGCTCTGAGTTGACTCTTCTCTTGGAGCCACGGCTCAGCCACTCAACACTTGTGTGATCTTGGGCAACCTACTTAGTCCCTCTAAGCCTCAGTTTTCTTTTAAAATCCCAGTTGACAATAGCAGATCCTTCTTCACAGACTGTTAATCAACAGGACAATTGGGGCTTATATAACTAAACAGGTTCTCTAGCTCCTTGCTAGATCCACTAAATGGAGATCTCCAGGAACTAGAAACCCCCCCCCCCTTTTTTTTTTAAAAAAAAAAAAAAAAAAAAAAAAAAAGCTCCTGAGCAATTCTGATGATTTGCGGGAAATAAAATAATATGCAAACAGCACGTGAACACATTGCCTACCTTTATGGTGTCTGGACACTTACACCGAGTCCACACACCATAAGCGTTACTAATCCCTGGTGCTTCCTCGGTCACAAAGATACAGGGACTCTGAGGTTTAGGACTGGAGAGGAGAAAGGTTCAGTGTAGGGTCGTAGTCGGCAAACTGCGGCTCTTTGGCCCCTTAAATGTGGCTCTCCCACAAAATACCAAGGCCTGGGCAAGTCTACTTTGAAGAAGTGGCATTAGAAGAAGTTGAGGCTTAAAAAAAATGTGGCTCTCAAAAGAAGTTTTAGTCCTTGTAGTGTTGATTATTTGGCTCTGTTGACTAACGAGTTTGCCGACCACTGGTGTAGGGGAAGAAGTGAGTGAGAGGGAAGAGAGGGGTGGCAGCACTGGGGACAGAGGGGTGGAACGCAGGTGCTGGTGGTACTGGAGGGCGAGGGAAACAGCACCATATATAGAAGGTGGTAGCTTGTCCTCCAGGTGCTGAAGGCCACCTACAGTGACAAGAGCCCATCCTGGGCACGGGGCCGGATGACTCAAAGTGGAAGGCCTCTGGGAACAGCACTGGGGGTTGGGAACCATGGCATGGGGAGGTGGGGGGGGGGGGGCAACGCTAGAGAAAGATGAGACTCTGTGAAAGGAAAACTCTTCATGACAGCGGGGTGACAACTCTGGGAAGCCCTGGGATCCTCATGACAGGACTGACATTTACCGTTTTCTGCTTTTCAAGCTCTTCTTGGTTATGGATACTGCTTTCTAACAACAGCCCGACACTGCTGTCCCCATGGGACAAACAGAGCAGGAAAGAGGGGAGACGTGGAGGGAGGAACGGTGTACGCGAAGCGTTGTGTTCAAGGTCACAAAATAAGTTTGGGCAGTTTCCTTTCTACCCCTGGCACTGCCGCCCAGCTCCCCGGCTCTGTCCCTGTCCACCCTCGTCCCTCCAGCCCCCACAGCTCCTTGAGTTTCCAGTCCTGCCTCCAGCTGCACTGGGCCTTGGTTATTTATAGAGTATCAGATGCCCAGGGTTGTCTTTGCTAGCAGCTGCAGGCCAGTTCCCTCCCAAGTGCCAAGGCTGGTGGAGAACCAGAACCAAAGGCTGGAGGTCAGAGAAACCAGCCCCGGGTAGGCATGAGGCGGGGAGGAGGAGGGATGGGGAAACATGGATAACGGTCAACCCAAGCAGGAATGCCGTTTCCGATCTCACATTCAGACCGGGCTTATGCTAATCCCCTCCCATCCCACCAACACATCCACAGGCTCATCCTAAACTTAAAGCAATCCTGGGTACAAGGCAAATGGGGAAACCGAGGCAGAGAATGAATGGTCCGAGTAACCATGTCCAGAGTCGTCTGACTATTATTCTCTTACCTCAAGGTGGGGGACTGGGAGTGGACAGGAGCTAGAGAAAGCCTGGTTAGAGAGTGGGGGGTGGGCAGAGACATCTGAGTGAGCAAGGCCTGCCTGCCAAAGCAGCTGTCCTGGCATTGTGGCCCTGTCCCTCTGCCCTGTGGCCTGGCATGGTCTCGAGGCTGACAACTTAATGAGGGTAAATAAGGGGCCCCAGTGCACAGCGGGGCTGCCGGAGCCAGAGGTCAGGGCCAGGGAATTTCTAGTGCCCCCCCCCCCCCCCCCGGAGTGTAACTCAAGCCGGGCCCCGCTTTCAGACTCCTCTCTCCCTCCCACTGCCTCACAGCACCCAGACCCACCCCCCACAAATGTAGCTGCAGGCTCCTCTCCATGTTCGGCTGAGGGATTAATCGAGGTGGATGGTGAATTCTTGTGCCACCCACCCCCTCGATGACTCACGGCCTGATCACTGTATGTCGAAAGAGCTGGAGCCAAATGGAATTACAAGGCTACGTCCTCTGGGGGAAGTGTGGTAGGTGGTTTTGATTTACCCACTGCCTGGGATTATTTGTGCAAGCTTGCCCTGGCCCGGGTTCCTGAGGGAAGACATTTCTGTCCTGGTGCTGGAATAGAGGGGTCCCTTCTCCCTTCATTCCCATGTCCAGGACCCCTCCCAGTGTGCCACCCCCCCAGGTCCACACTCACATCGGTGGCCTTCTTCTCGGCCAGCTCCAGCTTCTCCTGGGCGTCCTTCACGGCCTCGGAATACTTCTCCACCTCATCCTCCGTCCCTTTCAGCTTCTTCTGGAGGGCCTGCTGCTCCTCCTCCAGCTGGAGAGAGACAACCCATCAGCCGGGCCCAGGGTCCAGGAGGAGGCAGGCAGAGGTGTGTGAGGGGGCACTAAGAGATTTAGAGGCTGTCAGGGAGGAAGAGGAGAAACAGTGCAGCCAGGAGCACTGAGAGGGGGTAGAGAGAGTTTCCAGCCCCAAGAAGCAGGGCCCATCCTTGTTCTTCAAGGGGCAGGAGTGGACACTGGGGGACTGTGGGTATGGGGTTCTGGTGGGTGTGGAGGTTCTATGGTGGGTACGATGAAGTCTGGTTCTGGCTAGGTCCCTAGGGGTCCTAGGAAGGTCCAACCCCCGACTGGACGGGGAGAGAGCCTCGGAGAGCAGTCCCTTAGGGTAAGGGACACAGGGCAGAGCCTACCCCATCCTGGCTGGGGGTGCGGGTACATGGGGCTGTCCCAGGCCCTGGGTCCCCCCACCTGCTTGCAGCGGTCCTCCGCCTGCTTCTTGTCGGCCTCGGCCTGCTCGGCGCGGTCGATGGCGTTCTCCTTGTCCAGCTTCAGCATCTGCATCTTCTTCTTGATGGCGTCCATGGCTGCGGCGGGGGTCGGGCCGGCGGCGGCGGTGCGGTCCGGGAGGAATGGGCCGGCGGGCCGGGCGCGGGCGGTGGGCGGCGGGCGGCGGGCGAGGAGGACCCGGGGGGACTGGGGCGCTCCGGCCGCGGGGGAGCCTAAAAGGCCGGGCGGAGCCGGGCGGAGCCGGGGGCCGGGACCCTCCCCCGCCGCGGCCCAAACCTTGTAGGGGCAGAAGCTCGGCCCGGCCGGGGGGCGCGGCCGCCCCCGGCGCCCACCCCCTCGGGACCGCCCCCCGCGGCCCCGCCCGCCGCCCGCCTCCCTCCGCCGTCGGAAGGGAAGGGAAGGCCCCCGGACCGCCCGGTAAAGAAGCCTGCCCCGCGGAGGGAGGGGGGTAGGACAGCGGAGGGGAGGGAGGGGACCCTCGGCCGGGGGCTCGGCGGCCTCTGAGTGACAGCCCGGCGCGGCGGCAGCTGCGGCCGGGGCCCCGGGGCTATTTCGGGGCGTGAGCTCACGGCCAGCTGCCCGGCGCGGGGACCGGCGTGCCCCCCTCCGCCGCAGCAGCCGCCGGCCTTAATTTAGAAGTTTCCTGCAAATCCCCCCCGGATCGAATGTCTCTTGGCGGGGAGGAGGGGCTCCTCCAAGGCCCGGGTGCCTCAGTTTACCCCCGGCCCCAGAGACTGGGTTTGCGTGGCCGACCGACGTGGAGCCTCGCCGGGGACTTGGGGAAACTGAGGCAGGAGGGGAGCCCCGAGCCCTGGGCGCGGCCCGGGTTGCTGCCCCCGAGGGCGGGCTTGCCCTCTCTTGCCCTCGCTGACTCCCCCGTGCAGCCTCGGCCCCCGGAGCCGGGCCCCTCCTCTGCGCCGCCCCCACGTGCCCCGCATAGTTTCCACGCGGCTGCCGCCCGCGGACACGCCTCCCCCCGGGCCCTCCCCGCCCCGCCCCGCCCCGCCCCGCCCCGCCCCGCCTCGCTCCCGGCGGACTCTCCTCTCCCCCCCGGGGCCGAGTTCACGCCGAACTCGCTTTTCTGCCCTTTTTTGGGCCGTTTCCCCGCGGGGAGGCGGGGCCGGGCAGGGCGGGCAGCTGGGGCGTGGGGAGGAGGTGCGGAGCCGTCGGTGTCGGGAGCCGGGGGAGCCGGCCCCCTGCGGCCCCGGGGTCGGCGGTGGGACCGCGGGCGCGGGGCGGGGTCCGCCCCCTCCTGGGGATGGGAATGGGGATGGGGATTTTGGGGGGAAGGAAGTGGAGGGCCGCCTCCGAGTGGTGAGGGGGGCCGGGCCGAGGAGGCCTGGGGGAGCGCTTCGCCTCGCTCCCCAGGGGCCCAGGGCCGGGGGCCCGGCTTTGCCGGGGCGGGTGGGAACCGTGGGAACCCTGGGCCCGGCCGGGGCAGGGGCTGGGGGGGGGCGGGAGGAGGGAACGTAAATGTATTTCGGTCTGTTTAGCTGCTGCTGCTCCTCGCGGAGCAAGCCTGACCTCTTACTGCGAACTCCCTCCACCTCCCTGCTTTCCCAAACCCATGGAGGACGCCTCTGGGCCCGTTCTTCCCCAACCTCACCTCCAGCACCCAGGCTCGCACCTCATGCTGCATTCCTACTGAGCCTCTGTAGGCGCTGGAAATGGCCGTACTTTCCTTAAAGTCTCAACCTTCTATGCGTCCGGTTCCCTCTCCCTAACATGCGCTCCCCTTCGCCGGCCTTAAAGACTCAGGTGGATGTCTGCCCTGGGAAGCATCCCTGGCTACTTCCTCCTTCACGTCCTCCTGTAATGGGTGTCTGCTCCCGGTGCAGGCTCCTTGCTTCTCATCAAAGTCCCTCTTAGAACCTTCTCCTACCTGTCTGCCTCCTGCCCTGGCCTGTGAGTCCAGTTCTGGACCCCCCCCCCCCCCCCCCCCCCCCCATGCCTAGCAGAGCATCAGGCATAGAGTTGGCACTTGGTCAACATTTGCCAGGTGAATTTTTTATGCACTGGGTCCCAGATACCAAAAAAATACCAATATTATGTGGAATGGGCTTAGAACCCCTTACACCACATGTGTCAAACACAAGGCCCGCGGGCCAAATCCGTCCCGCCAGGCCTTGCAATGTGGCCCGCACCGCGCTGTCATCACTGCACTCCGCTGTGTTTCCATCACAATGACAGTTTATGACTGTTCAGTAAACCATTCGGCCCGCGATTTAGGCTGGATTTTAGATTTTGGCCCCTTCTCTGATTGAGTTCGACACCCCTACCTTACACTCTTAGAAATGGAGTGGCATTTGAAGATCCAAGAAGCTTTCGTTGAAGTCGGTTACATCTATCAATATTTTCCGTATTAAAATGGGAACTGAGAACGTTTTTAAACATTACTTCATAGAAATAAATCATGTTATCATGTTTCTCGTGAAAAATAACTATATTCACCTCCCCAGATTAGTGAGGATGGCAGTTATTTTACATTTTTGCAAATCAGTCTCTGGCTTAATAGAGGACAGCTGCATTCTCAGAATCTACTTGGCTTTCTGTCTGTTGCTATAGTTTGGCTTGTTTGAAGTACTGTATGTGAAGAAAATCTAGTCTCACTCAGAAACACAGTAGGAAAGAGAGTGATACACACACACACACACACACACACACACACATACACACACTGTGTTTCCCCGAAAATAAGACATCCCCTGAAAATAAGACCTAGCGCAACTTTGGGAGAAAAAATTAATATAAGACACTGTCTTATTTTCGGGGAAACAGGGTATATATATCAGGTAATTGTGGATATTCTTGCTCTCACACCAACACTTGACAAATGGTAGTTTCTCAAAGTTTAGGTGCGATGTGGAGCCTGAAACCATATCAATAGCCTTTTTTCCTATTTTACATTAAGGTCCATTGGTCTGTGTTGCACTTGGGAGGTTTTACCCAGGGACACTTTTGTAGCATCATGCATCAGTCATGTGGAAAATATTGATTCACCAAGCTATACAAATGTTCCAAATGTTGACACATTTATTTTTTAAATCATATTTCTGAATATCAGGAGTGGTTTCCATAGGAAAGTGTGTTTCAAGCTTTGGGATGTTGTGAAGCTCATGGTAGCAGATACAGGCTTTCAAAATTCTAATTTTTACTTGAAAGCTCCAGTTCTATCATTGGCACTAAATACTGTCAGGTTTTTCTCTGAATTGGCAGACTCACTTTGTTCCCCTGCTACCCAGGTCTGATAATCATGGTCAGTCATTCTTTCAAATCAGTGGGGAGTTCCATGAAAAAAAGCAGTTGGTTCAGCTCACAGATCAACAAACTAAGTGCTTTCCTCGATACTCTTGTGTCTAGCAGAAGCTCTCTGCCCACTTCCCAGTTCATCACAGAGAATATTGAAGACTTGTTACTCCAGGGATGATTAATAAAATTAATAAGGTCTCACGGCTTCATTAAGGACGGTCTTAAGTGAAACTAGCATTCACTTGTTAAGTTGCTAGTGCATGGTGGTGAGAATACAATGACGATTAGTACACTGTCTTGATTTGTGCTATGGCAGTTTACCCACTAAGGTTTTTACATCAGTACAAATGTTGACACTGAAAAAGGAAAATAATGTCTTAGTATTACTATGAAAATAATCTTGACCTTATGGATCCCTGAAAGGGCCTTGGGAACCCCTATGCCTGAAGACCACATTGTAAGAACTGCTGGCTTAATGGGTACTCCATTCACTCCCCAAGGCGTCACTAGTGAGAGTGCGTGATTGGGGACGTGGAAACATGACAGGGAAGTGGTAGCAGGAGTGAACAGCTGTCCTGGGCTCAGAGCTGGAGTTCCCGTCTAGATACCACTTGCTGGGAGGTTGGAAAAGGGATTTGAGCCCAAAGATCCTCAACTCACCATGCGAGGACATTGAATCTGGGCTTAGAGGGCCACAGCAGTGTGTCCTGGAGTTGCCAGTCCCCTGCGTCAGGGAGGTGATAATACATCTCTGTTTTCCAGTGCTTAGCACGGGCATGGCTTAGTAAATATTGAATGAATTAATCACAGGTGACAGGAGCAAGGGTAGGAAGTTGGCACCTTCCCTAATGGGCTGTCCTGGGGAGGACAAAGTGATTCTGTCTTCTTTATACCCACTCTAATGGGGTGGGAGAAGATGCCATGGCCTCAGGAAGGTGAGAGGGGCCCCGAGGAGCAGCAGATGAGTGGTGTTTGTGTTCTGTTTGGAAGGAGAAGAAAGGGAACATATTGGGCAACAGGGTTGGTTCAAGGATCATGCATGAGAACAGTGGCACTTCTACTGGACCTGCCAGATAGTCCAGGCAGTGCGGGCAGAGGGGGCGAAAGCAGAAGGAAGTGGAAGCAGCCACCTCTCACCTCCCTCCTCCCAGCCCACCTCCTCCACTGAACCTCCAGATCAGCAGGCAGCTGGGACAGGGCTACCAGCACGGGCCTGGCCACTAGGGGCGCTCTGCTCCGAACCAGACAGCCTCACGCCTGGGTCAGGCTTTTTCAGATCCTTTTCTCCTGGTGTTCTAACCTAGGCAGGAGGACAAGACCTCAGAGGGGCTAGAAGTGCCCAAGCCAGTCAACAGAACCTACCTAAGGCAGCCCTGTTGGAATTTTTTTGCTTGTTAAATGCCTCAACCCAATCTGTGACTATAATTCTCAGGCTCAGATACTTGTATTTTATAGGCTTATTATTTTTAGCTTTTGAAAATTCAGATTTGGCCAAGGCTGGATTTGCTCACATACTCCGAGCAGTTAAGAAGGATAGTGTCCCTGGTAGCCACGAAGCACAGTGGCAGCTGCTGTCCCCGCCACAGCAGACATAGACACTTGGGGAGGCATAGGCGCTGGCCAGTGAAATAGGGGACTTCTCAGGGACAGCTTCCCGACTAGGATGACTTTAGGGATCTGGGTGCAAGGAGGAGGCTGATCGCCAAAGTCTGTCCCACTCCCTTCCTGAGTCATATCAAGCTGGTGGCAGAACTCAATCCCATTCTCTTATCTCAATCCCAAACTCCCATCTCCTCATGAAGCCAGGCAGAGTCGCAGGCAGAATCACCTTTATTGGAGCATGACCTGTTTGAGGCTTCTGGCCCCACAGCCCCCATAGGTAGCTGGGGGTGCAAGGAGGAGGAGGACAGTATAAAAAAGGACGAGTAGAGCTGAGGCTATGGGGACTTG